CAACCCACCTCCAGGTAAGGCCTCCTTCTGTCCTCTCCCTAGCTGCCTTTCCTCTCCAGCCCCTCTTGCTGCCCCAAATCCCTTGGCACTTCCCCTTCCATCCTTGCGTTTATCCATTCACTTCCCTGCCTGGGTGTCCCCCACCCCAATAGAGGGAGTGAGGAAGGAAGGAAAGGAGGAAGGAAGTAGGGATGGATGGAGGAAGGAAGGAAGGAAGGAAGGAAGGAAGGAGAGAGAGAGAGAAGGCAGGTCATCCCTCTTCTGCCATCAGTTCCTGCTCAGAGGAAGCGGAGGCCTTGTTGGGCTGAGGTGGTCAGAACATATTGAAAGAAGGAATTCGAGTAGGTCAGAGAAATGAAGGCCTGGAATTTTAGAGCAATTTTCCCAGTTGTGAGTGAGGAGAAGTTCTGTGAGTTTCCCTGCTTTCTCTTGCAGGCTGAAACTTCAGAAAAGGAAAGCGACTTGAAGGTGCAGACCCTGTTGACAGTGACCCAGAACTTGGAGGTCTCAGAGACTCCGAAGGCTTCAAAGGCACCAGAGGTCTCAGAAGCTGTGAAGGTCTCAAATGCCGCAGGGGTCTCAAAGGCCACAGAGGTCTCAAAGGCCCCAGAAGCTCAGGAGGCAGCTGCCACTAAGGCCTCACCTACCACTAAGCTGACTGATACCCAGATTTTGACAGCTGAGAAGGAGAGTCCAGCATCTGACACCAAGATACAGAATGCTGAACCTCAGGCTGTGACAGTGTCTGCCACTGAGACCAAAAACATTAGTTGTGTGGCTGATACAAAAGTCAATACAAAGGCCGTGGAGGCGGAGGCTGCTGCCTCTCAAGCTCCAGCAGATGAACCTGAGCCTGAGGGTGCAGTTGCCCAGACTCAGGAGAATCAGGATACTCGGCCCAAGGTCAAGGCCAAGAAAGCCCGAAAGGTAAGACTTCTACAGTAACCATCCTTGCCTTTTAATTTCTCTTCTCTCAGTTGGTTCATTTGTTCTGCAAACATTCAAAAAGTTTCCTGTGCTCATCAGGCTGTGGGGAAAACTAACAGGAATGTGGTACAATTCCTGTCTTCAGAGAGCTCACAAATTTTGGGGGAGATGAGACAGGAATAGACATCGTTGTAATCTGAATGTAATATGGTTTATATTTACATAGTAACTCCTATGTGTTAAGCTTTGAGCTAGCATATTCACATAGGTTACCTTTTAAATCCGGAAAGTAATCCAGTTTCATAGAGAAAGACGCGGAGTCCCAAACAGGTTGAATGAGCTTGTCCAGGTTGGTACAAGCAGAGCCAGTGGTAGATATAGGAAGAGGAGAAGGCTCAGGCTACCCTTGGGTTGCTCCTGGTCTGGTTCAGTGATGAAACTCTTGCTTGAAAGCCAGTGAAACACAACCCCAAGATTCAGCATAGCCAATATTTAGTGAACCAAGTTGTTACCACAGGGGTTGGATTAGAGGAGGTTTCTGGAAGAGATAGAATGAGGAAAAAGACCATCTGCTTCATCTGGTACTGTTGTGCTTTCTCTCCGTTGATGCAGGTGAAGAATCTGAGTGGGGAAGAGGATGGCAGCAGTGATCAGAGTCAGGCTTCTGGAACCACAGGTGGTCGAAGGGTCTCAAAGGCCCTAATGGCTTCAATGGCCCGCAGGGCTTCAAGGGGTCCCATAGCATTTTGGGCCCGTAGGGCATCAAGGACTCGGTTGGCTGCTTGGGCCCGGAGAGCTTTGCTGTCCCTGAGGTCACCTAAGGCGCGTAGGGGCAAGGCTCGCCGCAGAGCTGCCAAGCTCCAGTCATCCCAAGAGCCTGAAGCACCACCATCTCGGGATGTGGCCCTTTTGCAAGGGAGGGTAAGAACCTAGTCCTTTCCACTCTGTCCTATCCACTGCCTTGCCTGCCCTTTTCTCTGCCATCCTAAAGTTTCTGCAAACATATTTTGATCTTTATACCTTTTCCTCCTCTCCCAGGCAAACGAATTGGTGAAGTACCTGTTGGTTAAAGACCAGACAAAGATTCCCATCAAGCGCTCAGGTAGAGTCCTACTAACTCTCCCTACCCCCAGTTCTGCCTTCCATTGCCCTCTCCCCTATGTGTTGGGGGCACTTGCTCTTATGCTTCTACCTCTGTCCTCCCAAAGTTCTATTTTGGCAGCGCTAGCATCTCTGATCATTAGTTCAGAACCTGCTTATGTCACCCACAGCAGAGTTGGCAAAGGGTCTATAGATTTGGTATGGGGGCCACCTGGCTTCACTTCAGCTCAGGTGCTCGCAACACTCTCCCCTTGCAGACATGCTGAAGGACATCATCAAAGAATACACTGATGTGTACCCTGAAATCATTGAACGAGCAGGCTATTCCTTGGAGAAGGTGAAGGGGCAGCCCTGGGGGTGGATGTAATGGGGAAGCCTGGAATTGAACAAAGGTGTACATGTCCGTTTGGGGAGGGACCACAGAGACTCACTAAGCCAGCTCCATCACTCTGAAGATGGGAAGACGGTGGCCTAGGGAGGTGTGTAAACTTGCCAAGAGTCACACAGTAAGTCAGGGGAAAGGACACAGCTAGGACTTAAGTCTCCCAGTGTAGTCATGACTCCTATCCACTGCTGGACATGTCCTGGAATGCATTTCAGATGTTTACCTCTCCCTTCCATTCACCATTCATAGCCTCCCTAGATTCCTACTAATCACAGCGATGATGTTGATAACAATAGCACATTTGTTGCCTGTTTGCTGTGTGCTGGCCTCATAGCTAAGTGCTTTACATGCCTTATCTCACTGATGTCACATACATGCACACACACACAAACCCCTAGGCACATGGGGAACTGTGGGATACTCAAGAAGCTAAATTTTGTGATCTCATAAGCTTTTCTCCACAGGTATTCGGGATCCAGTTGAAGGAAATTGATAAGAATGACCACTTGTACATTCTTCTCAGTACCTTGGAGCCCACTGATGCAGGCATACTGGGAACGTAAGCTGGGGAAGGTCTGGGGTGGGAGGGAGGCTTCTGTTTTTGTCCATGGTACTACCCCATCCCTGTCCTCTCTCCACACACCTTCTTGGAGAGTCAGGAAAGACAGGGCCTGAAAAGCCTCTGTTCTAGCTCCTGCATGTAGTTGGAACCCTGCGCACAAAAGTGGTGCCTGATTATGATTGACTGAAGGGTGTAGAAGGCTGGGGTGGGGCATTCCTACTGTCAGGTCGTCTGTCCAGAAGCTTCCCAGCAGAGCAGACCTGTCATTGCTTGTCTTTTCCTACTGGCCTTGGTAGAGTAGTACTCAAGGGAGGGCTTTCTGGTGTGGGTGGGTCATGATGCTCAAAGAGCAGGATCATCAGTGGGCTATGCCCAGAATTCTCTTGTGGCTGAGAGTTCTGGGAGAGAAAGGAGGGACTCACATTGACTGAGTGCCTGTGTCATACCAGGTTGCTAGGATTTCTTCCATCCTCTTCAGCAACCTGGGGAGGGGAGGATGTGATTTTCCCATTTTACTGAGTAGGAGACTGAGTCTAAGTGTCTTGCCCAGGTTCACATAGAGCTTCAAGAATAGACTGGGCAGAACTTTCCTGTACCTGAGGAATCTGGGAGAGTCTAGCCTAGTGAGCTGGCTGGTGTGTTTTTTGCAGATGGCTGCAGGATATAAATCTCTCTGTCCTATTGTTCCCCTAGAACCAAGGACTCCCCGAAACTGGGTCTCCTTATGGTGCTTCTTAGCATCATCTTCATGAATGGAAATCGGTCCAGTGAGGGTGAGTAGCTGGGCGTGCAGCTGAATGGGTGGCTACTGTTGGAATTCCACGTGTTCATTTTCTATCCCTGTCTCCTCTGCCCCCCTTGCAGCTGTCATCTGGGAGGTGCTGCGCAAGTTGGGGCTACGCCCTGGGTATGATTGGGCTCTCTCAGCGCTTGCTGTCCGTGTTGTCCTTTGGCAAGAGAGGATGGTCCCAGGATTGCATCAGCCTGGTGGTCTGGTGGAGCGGGCTGGGGTGCTGGACTGGGTAGAGGGCCCATGGCTCTGACCTGGGTGGATGGGGAAATGGTCCTGATCTCTCTGCTCCCTTGAGCTTATTGTCTCTTCAGCTTCTACGGTGCTTCCCTCTTGTGCTGGAAATCCCTTTTCCACATTGGAAATGCCTCTGCACACATCTGGGAAGTGTCATGGCCCTGATTTTATTTATGTATTAATGTATTTATTTTTCTCTGGTGTCAGGATACATCACTCACTTTTTGGGGATGTGAAGAAGCTCATTACTGATGAGTTTGTGAAGCAGAAGTAAGTGTGTGTCTGGTGTTGGTATGTGCCATACATTTTGCCTCCTTTTGAACTGAGCAATAAAGCTATAATGGGTGCATGTGTGCTTGTGTGTGAGTATACAGGTGGTAGCTCAGTTTTGAGGTGGTGACAGGCAACAACAGGTGTTTTTTGATCTATTACATGTGCTGTCAACATATGCCTTCAGAATGGGGAGGGATTGTCATCACCAGTGCTGTATATGTGAGGAACCTGAGGCCCAGAGAGGTGAAATCATTTGCTTATGGTTACACAGGTAGCAAATGAAAGATTCGTTTTTAGATTCAGGCCCTAATGCCTTGGTTTATAACAATTAATTTAAATTTTAAAATGTCATATAATGGTAGCTGAAGCCAGCTATCATGCTGGGGACTTGACATGTACATCTCATTTCATTTTCATAACTACCCTGCGGAATAGGTGCTGTCACCCCATCTTCATTTTCAGTTGCTAGACCTGTTGGCTCAGAGAGTGGAAGTCTAAGCATGGTCCTTTTTGGTAAGGGGCCTATTCAAACCTGGAATCTGGCCCTTCTGACTTACTGGCCAGGGCCCAACCAATCCTTTGCCCTGGAGAACACGTGTGCACTCACACGGTCGGGAGTGCATATGGAGTACACTGCTTTTGGTGGACCATTTCTTCCCTTCACAGTCCTTTTCCATGGTGGACTGTCCTGGCGCTCAGCCAGGCCACGGACAAGACGCTGTGGTGGGGCGTGCTCAGAGCAGGGGGCCTGAAGAAATGGCTCCACGGTTTACGACACACCCACCAGGAATCCAGGGGTCATTGTGATAAAGGCCACAAAACTTGGAAGTTTTTGGAAGAAAAGCTTCAGTGTTTAATGGGGAAGGTTGCTACCTAGAGCCTGTCCAGTCCACGCATGAGGGGGCCATGGGTGGTCTTGGACATAAAGACTTTGAACCCCTCTTTTCAAGGTACCTCGACTATGCCCGAGTCCCTAATAGCAATCCTCCTGAGTATGAGTTCTTCTGGGGCCTGCGCTCCTACTATGAGACCAGCAAGATGAAAGTCCTCAAGTTTGCCTGCAAGGTAATTGGAGAACTGCCCAAGCTTGGCATATCAAGAGCATGGAGTGGCCATTGCTGGCTATGTGCAAAGCAGCCTGCAGCTTATGTATGAACATTCTGAAGCTGCTGTTAACGTGCCAAACACTTTAGCTGAATCATTTAATCCTTAAAACTAACATGTTCTTGCCCTACTGCAGATGAGAAAACTCAGGCTCAGAGAAGTTGTTTCATGATATGTGTGAAGTCATAGAGCTAGTCTCAGGGCAGGGATGGAATATTAGGTGCATAACTACTACACGTATTTATTGCATTACTATTGTATACAGCATGTAGCATATTACCTAGCATAGAGTAGGTACTCAAGACTTAGAGAGTCTGATCCTTCTGAGGGTTGTTTCTGTTTCAGGTACAAAAGAAGGATCCCAAGGAATGGGCAGCTCAGTACCGAGAGGCGATGGAAGCAGATATAAAGGCTGCGGCTGAGGCTGCAGCTGAAGCGAAGGCGAGAGCTGAGATTAGAGCTCGAATGGGCATTGGGCTTGGCTCTGAAAATGCTGCTGGGCCCTGCAACTGGGATGAAGCTGACATTGGACCCTGGGCCAAAGCCCGGATCCAGGCAGGAGCTGAAGCTAAAGCCAAAGCCCAAGAGAGCGGTGGTGCCAGCACTGGTGCCAGTGCCAGTGCCAGTGGCAGCTTTGGTGCCAGTGCCAACCTGACCACCACTCTCACATTTGGGCTCTTTGCTGGCCTCAGTGGAGCTGGTGCCAGCAGCAGTGGCAGCTCTGGTGCCTGTGGTTTTTCCTACAAGTGAGATTTCAGGTATCTACTTAGATTTGGTGAGGGCAGCCAGGGCTTTTAGCTGGGTGGTTATAGGAAGGCCAAGGTCAGAGGACGTAATGGAGATTGTGGGAAAACACTGCTTTTGACATTTTATTCCTTCCTGTTTGGTGGATATCAATTGACTTCCTAATTTTCTTTTACTTGTGTTTTCAGATATTGCTAATCCCAGCTGTCTCTCTTCATGCCAGGGTGCAGCCTCAGAAACGTACTCGACACAGCACTCTAGGCAGCCACTATCAATCAATTGAAGCTGACACTCTACATTAAATCTATTTGTCATTTCTGAGTTTATTGCTTTTTTTTTTGGTGGGCTTTCACATTTGACTGTTATGTTTTAAGTGGGAAAAGGTTCCACCCCAATCTATGCTTAGTTTGAGGGGATGTTGTTGGATTCAAGGGTGTGAGATTAGCATGCCTCTCTGGGATAGGTTAATCCTCACTCTAGCCCACAGGGCAGGCAGGATTTTGGTAGGGTGGGGAGTCATGGGGCTTATAGGCACAGAGAACACACTTTGAAGAAGAGCCCTGAGGTGGATAAGTCTGGAGCAGAGAGCAGAGGTAGAGGAGATGGGACATCAAGTATAGACTCCTTTTGAGAAATCGGGGTGAGATAGAAAGGAGCCAGGTAGGTAGCTAAAGGAAGATACAGGAACAAGTGATTTTCTGAGGAAAGAAGAGCAAGCCTTCAGTGGGCAGGAGCCAATACAGAGGGAGATGTTGAAGATTGACTCATGCAGCCCAGTCCCTGAGGAAAAAGGAGGGGAAGGCCTAGGAGAAAGAACTGTCCAGAAAGGGACTGGAAAGAGTCTGGTTGTGGGGAGGTCCCAAAAGAGAATGTAGCCCATGATTTTTGGGAGACCCCTTTCCCATGGCAAGGTGCTCCATAACCTTGTACAAATCAAGACAAAAGAAACACAAGACCAAGAACAGTTAGTGTACAAGTTGGTATCTTCATTACTGTGTTAGTGGTGCCCAATGCCACTGTAGGTACTCACTGAGGGAAGATGGATTACGGAACTCAGGCAGGCTTGGGGAGGAAGATGAGATTGTGTAACAGTGGTTTGTGGACAGTAATCTCAGTGGTCTTGGAACATGGCAAAATGTTAAGTGAATATTCCAAGTTCCTGTGGCACGTCTGGCAGTGTTTTAGGTGTCTGGGAAGGGGTTTTTAGAGAAGAATGAACTAGGGACTAGTCAGACAGTGGGATGATTGTATTTCAGAAAACAGCAGAGAACTCTGGGTGATGCTACCATTCGAGGAGTGGGTGGTTAAAGAGAGAAGATGATGGTTTCTGGAAATGAGGGGCCAATGGCCTGGGAGGCAAGGGTGTTGGTGGGTTATCCATGTGGACAATAAAGTCACCTGGTTTGGTGGCAGCAATTGAGGTACAAAGCACTATGAACTAGGTGCCAAATTCACCTTGTGTGGTTAAAAGGTATTCCCCCAGCTACACTTATTGCAAAGGCAAAGGGCCCTCAGGTAGAGATGCACCTTTGCCCTGTTTTAGGGAGTATTTCCCTGGATTCTTCTCACCAAGAAGCCCTCACTATCTAATCCCTAGATTACCAGACCCCTAATCACTGGGGCAACCTTATGGACAATGGCTGCCTTTTCCTTCATGTAGACTATAGGCAGTAAAGGAACAATGTTTATTGCACAGGGAATTGGATTAAAAAAAAACAAACAAACTAGGCTCTACCAGAGCAAGGCAGCTCTTTGTCCATGGTCATAAATTGAGACCTGATTTTTTTGTTGAGGTGTTCTTCACTAGAAACAGGTTCTTTCATTAATTCCATAGGCCATGATATTCTCAGGGGCTGGGAGGTACCTGGGAGAGGTAGACAAGGTCAGAGGCAGCTTAGGCCTAGGACGGACTTTTGAGTGGATGGGTACCATCTCCAAAGCCCCCCTCAGGTTCCCAGGTGATGTCCATCTGAAAATGGAATGGATAAGGGATGATGGGGAGATGACAAGTAACTTGGGGGCTGTGATTCTAATAAAAGTTGAGTTCAAAGTGTTTGGATAGAGATAAGGGTGAGTCATAATGATGAAGAGCTCTTCCTTTCCCACTTAAATTCCCTCCACAGCCTCCTGGGCTTGCAGAGCTTTCCACCTCCCTTCTTACAAGGCCTAGAATTTGATAGTCAAGGAGTTGGCTTTTCCTCACTCCTAAGTGTAAAGACTGAGAGTATGTGGGACAGGGAGGAAGAGTTCAAGTCTGGTTACAGGCAAGTGGAGAGTGGCCAGAGTCAGGAAGAGGAAGTGACAAGGGAAATTAGTACCTATTCCAGTTCATGATTTGCCACTTTTATCACCTTGTAGAGTACTATTGTAATGGATGAACTCCCACAATTTTCAGTCTTCCCTTCAAATATTAATTAAATTCCAAATAATTCTAGGTGGTATTATATATCTTGGCCAGAAGTGTGAAGAGCCCTTAAAGCATTTTCTCCACTTATTTTCCATTATCACCCCCAAGAGACTCTTTTAGAGACTTTTTGTCCTATTGGTCACCCACCATGGAATTTCAATACCACAGATATACTGTATATCTATTTAATAACTATATTTGTGAGTTATACATAAAAAAAATTAAAAATTCAATACAAGGTTAATGACTAAAATGTTTAAGTTAAAAGTTCAAAAATTTACAAAGCTGATAACAGTTAACTTTGTAACTATTTGCTGAACAACTTTAAATTATATAGTAAAGTATGAAATTATGATTTTTATATATCTATGTGATATAAGTTATATAGCTATGGATGATGATGGCTATGTAATCAAAATTTTATTTAAAATTCAAAACATTTTCCAGAAAAGTAAAACAATTGATGATTTAAATTACTTTCATAAAAATTATTTTAGTGAAATTTTAAGTGTTGCTAATGATATAACCAGATTCTAGATATTTATGTATTATCAACATTTTTTCTTTTCAGTACTTGACAGAATTAATGATGGATTGGATAACTTTTGTAGAATTAAATATAAGGCATTTTCATTTACTTCAAAAAAACACAAATAGCACACAAAAGCACTGAGGATCAAACATAAAGACAGTGGCATCCAGTGGGCATATGTAGGCCACTTCTCACCATATGACTGTGATAATTAGTGATGGATTTAAAGTCTTCTAGTCACAGTCACCTATTTGCAATGTTTTTGTAGCTCTGATCTTGCTTACATTTTTTGTGTGTTTCATGACCTCAGTGTCATTGCTGCTCCTGTGATACCCAAGAAAATCCAGTTAGACAAATTAAATACTAAGGAATAAGATTTTTTCAGGTAGTGTTGAAATTAGAGAACCACAAACTATCATAGTAGCTGATTTTTTGTTCCTCTCGCCCAGAGCCAATTTTCACCCTCTTGGGGGTGATAACCCATTATCTTACCCTCCCCTCCAAGATGTGAATGCAAGCATTATAATAATAACATTTTACCTGGACTGAATAAAACAATGTAGAATGAATTATGGATAGAAAGAGATGGGGGTGAAGGGAAGGAGATAAAATAAATATCTAATAAAAACCAATCAATTGTGAGAAAACAAATTGGATAACAAACTTTTGCCCAAACTTACACTTTCAAAAATGCCTTGGTCCACAGATGGCTTCACAGGTAAATTTCACCAAACATTCAAAGAAGAACTAAAACATCTATCTCTCAAAACTATTCCAAAAAATTCAAGAGGAGGGAAGACTCCCAAGCTCATTTTATAAGGCCAGCATTATCCTGATTTCCAAAACCAGACAAAGACATTACAAGAGAAAGAAAGTTATAGGCCAATATTCCTGATGAATATAAGTTCAAAAAACTTTAACAAAATATTAGCGAACTGAATTTAGCAATACATTAAAAGGATCATACACCATGATCAAGTGGATTTATTCCTGGATGCAAGGTTATTTCAATATCTGCAAATCAATGTGATACACAACATAAACAAAATGAAAACTAAAACCCACAT